TGTTGTAGCAGAAGCTGATTGTTTACCCGTCTCCGGTTTGTTGCCACAGATACTTGGTGGGGAGAAGTGAACAAAGATCGGTCTGACATCCTTGTTCAGCAGGATCTGCCCCCCACCTCACCCACTGGAGGTTACTTGCTGCCATTCAGGCCTGAGCCCCGCAGGTGTGCCATCACACCTGTCTGACAGAAAACAAAATGTGGTTTGTTTCGTTACAGCCATTGCCCTAGCTAAAGAAGGAAGACCTTGCCCTGAGTTTTGTTTCAAGATTTAAGTGAATCCAAGCAAAGAGGAGGAGCTCTCTGTTTATGCTTAGTGCTTAAGCTGAATGTGACAAAAGCAACTGCCAGCCACTGGCAGTGAGCATCCAACCCTGCATGCCCAACGCACTGGAAGCAAGACGCGGGGTGGTGGAGCTGCTGCAGTCATGTCTCTTCACAGCACTGGGCATGGGAGCAGTGGGCATGGGCAGAGGGCAAGAGAGAGGTGAGAGGTGCAAGCCTGGGCTCAGTGCACTTTCATTCGATTCCTGTTCCTATGGCAGTGACATGGGTGTAGGCATGGAGTAAATCATGTGGTGGAACTTGGATCCAAATGGAACAGCTAGAATAGGGCTTTGTGCATGCAGAGCAGGACACTGCAGAGCCCTAATGTTCACTTATATGGATTTGCCATTTGCCATTATGATCCAAACACTGCTGAAGAAGATGGAAAGACTTCAGCAGGCATTTGGTCAAGAGCTGAGTCACTGGAGTTTCCAATGCTTTAGGTATAAGCATTTTTCACACACACACACACACACACACACACACACACACACACACAAAAGCTAACAAACACAATTTGCCCATTTTCCATCTAAAGGGGTGCTTTATTTATATTTCTTAACATCCTTATTAAACACCTTATCTGAAAATGCTTCCATTCTGGTTGCAACAGCGCTGTTTGCATTCAGCTCTGAGGTGTTTCCGCCTTTAGAATGAGAAGCATGGTAGGTGCACGGTGCCAGCTGGTTTGGAAAGAGTTTGTATACTGGGCTGCAACTTATGTAGAGAAATGTCCTTGAGGCAGGAAGCATATTTTATTTATTGTTTTATTTATTGCTCATGCCAAGTAAATGGAATCCCAAATTATGAAGATGCAAAACACACTGTGGGTATTTATCAGAGCTGAATGTTTTTATGTGCTCCAAAACAACCTGGGTTTCCCAGATGACTGCGAGCAGCTTGCTGGTTTTGAAGATCTAGCACCTTTGGAACAGAAGGGATATGCTGAATTTTAAGCACTTGGAAAGAGAATTAATTGCATGGACAGCAACATTCTCCTTTTTTTGTTGTTGTGTGCTCATCAATAGCAAATGATGAAGTCTCTAGGGAATATTAACACAAGTAAACTAAACAGAGGAGTGGGACTGTTTAAACAAGGTGAGACAAAAGCCTCCGTATTACAAGCAAATGACTGTGATAGCAATTTTTTTCTTTTTAATGTTTCCACCTCTATTGTTGCAGATGTCTGCATTAAAACAGGAACTGTATCTTTCTCAACCCAGGTTCTCCTTCAACAGTCTGCTCAGAGGTCACAGGCCCTCTTATCTCATGGGATGCTTCTGCCAGGGTTCCCCTTGCAGCATCCTTTTGGGTTGGGAATCTAAATCCTCCCTTCTCCCCACCCACCATCTGCAAATAGAAGAGGATTTGCCCCAAGAGCTATGGAGGCATAAGGCCATCTGCATGCATGACTCCATGCCTGTGGGTCTTCATGCCTGCCTGCTCCTGGGATGCTGAACAGGAAAAGGAGGCCTAAAGGCCCTGTCCCGAGTGAGCATGAGCCACAGCAGCGTTCAGGTGAACAATTCTCTTCCTGCTTCCACACTGCCATGGGACCTTTCCGACTGAAGAGGATAAGCAGTATTAATTCTGAAATGTTGTGTACCGCATGCATTAATGTTGGTCTGCCACAAGTAGAGACACCACATCTCTGAATGAAGGGATGACAAACAATAATGCATACTAGACGTCAGAATAGGAACCTACAGGATGAACTGTAACAGCTCCAAAGAAGCCATTGATCTGTGGAGCACATAATGTGCATGCTAAAAATGGTCGGAATATTTATTTACATGACACGGCTCGGGAGAAGCCATTAGGGTCCTTAAGTAAATTACACATGTTGTGAAAATTGTCAGAGTGCTTCTTTTACCAGAGACGAGCGTACCCTGCCGCTTGATAAACACATTATCTTGGGGGAGGGGACCCAAGGCTAAAATAAGGTTAAAATGGGAAGAAATGAAAAATAAAAAAGAGAGGAGGGAAGAAAATAAACCCCAAGCCTCACATCATGCCAAAGCATGCTGCATGCCCACCAAAGGAAGAAAGCTGGGGCAGATCTGCCTTGCAGCCTGGCACCTTTCGGATGGAGAAGTGCATTTGCCAGGGTGACTTCTCTCCATCACAGGAGGTGAATTTTCTAATGGAAGCAGTTGCACAGGGGGAATATATTTAGCCTGTGTTTGCAGATCGCATGTGCTCAGAGTAAAATGTTTTCCTTGCTGTTTTGGAAGCACACTATTTAGCACTGCAAGCCTCACTATTGGAGAAGCCTGTAAATTGTGTTGCATCTGAGACAATTACTCAAATTGCTTGAACTGTGGTTTCTTCTTCCTGACTGCAAAGGTTTTTAAAAAATCTGACTTCTACCGCTATAAAAGCACTGAAAGCACGTAACAGCAGAGTGCTGCCCTGCTTTGGCATAAATCTGTTTATTCATTAACTGGGAACAACCTGCAGGGCAGCTATGGAATTCCTCAACACCACTTCGGTTGGGGCTGAAAACGCAACTGCTTAAAAGCAGTGCAGCGTGGTTTAGAAAGTGAAAATAAATACCAGCTCCATGCACGACAGTTGAGAAAACGCATCTCCCATGGTAAGGGCTAGAATTTGGCTTTCCCATGGAAGCAACGCCTCTGATGGCTTGGAAATGTCAGAGGAGTCCGAGCATCTGCATGGACCGGGACTGCAGCGCTGCAGCTGACAGAGGTGCAGTGCTCATGGCTGCGCTCTGCAGACAGCACAGCAGGCAAGCTGGGGATGGAATGACCTCGATCCCTCCTCTACTCCTTCCCGATGCCACCTCCCCACCCTTAACGCATGCAGCATCCCAACGAAGGGGTCCTCACAGCCTTCCCATCAAAAGGCTTCTTAAAAACCACTCTTCTTCCCACACTTCCCTTGTAAGGCAAAACTTCCCCAAAGATGAAGTAAAAACCATGACTGCGCTCTGCCTGTTCCATCTCCCTGCTCCTACGGGGCCAAGCACGCTCAGTCACCAGCACATGGCAAACGGGAAGCGGGACCTCAGTTTGACAGCTGGTGACTTGCTCAAGGTCACAATGGAGATACAGTAGCAGAGCTGGGAACAGAATTTGGTATCCTAATTCCTAATCTGGCAGCCTCACCACCGCCCTCATCATGCAATCAAATAGTTCCTTTTAAGGAATGCTTTTGTGACTAAGAAAATCCGAGGCATTAGAAGAAAGAGCCCTTTTAATTTGCCTTTGTTCAAACATTTATGTCCTTTGCTGTATGGAAAACATGATTTAAACAAGGTATGGGATTCAAATATTTTGAAGGACTCTACAACCTTTGAAAAACCAAAATAAACGTGGCTGTACTGACTCCAGCATTGAGAGAGGAACAAGATACTCCTTGCTTACAGCTTCAAGCGTAGCGTGAGGAATTAATCAAGAGCAGCCTTGATGCAGTGATGGAGGATTTTCGGATGCTATACATTGGCTTTCCTATTTGTCAAGAATCTCGTAAAACGTGAACAAATTTCCCATTTCTCCAGTAAGAGCTCAGTTTTCTGAAGGCTGTAACTTGTTGCTCCACAACATTTTTAAAAACACAAAACCAAACTCAACTCAACGGGAAGCTGCCCCAGTCTGAATCAATACGGGATCAGGTCCGGTTTGTGATTTGTTGGCTCTCCCAGGGCACAACTCGGTGAGGGTGAGCTCCACAAGGCAGTTTCATGTCTTAAGACAGCATGTTTTGCTGCTTCCTCCTCTGTGTAACAGAATACTGTAATTTGGCAACAGGGGAGAGAAACAAACGAGGGTATTGAGAACTAATGTTACTGAAAATCCCGTATACAAAATAAGCCGAGCTGTGTAAGCTCAACTAAGCATTGGACTACAAATATTAATAGGTTAAACAAGGAAAATGAATGGAAATGTAAACCTTTCCTGTGGAAAACTGTTTTTAAAGGCATAGCGAAGAACTCCCAAACAGCTGCAAAATGGCCTTTTAATAGTATTCCTACTGTCACTGAATTAGTGGGAGACACGGGACAAGATGTTCATGGCTTAATTCTACAAGAACACGTATTTTGCTCGTTAAACTATTATTGCAACATCTGAATAGGGGGAAAAATATAAAGCAGGACCTCATCCCTGTCCCTGGGCCCCGTGAGATGCCTCTGCCTTCAAAGCAGCATGGTGACAGGAGGCCTTGTGCCTGCTGACACGCGAGCTCGGCTTTGATTGGAGCTTGAAGCAATTATTTTGATTAAGAAAATGTTAATCTTGTTGACATTATCACTGTAGTCAACAGCTAATGACCCCAGTAGTTCATTTCCTTATAAATATTTAACATAATAGCAGCAGTCCCTTGGGTTACGGTACTTTTGACACTTGTATAATCTGAAACAAATCCCCTTTTTTCAGTCAAACAGCCCATGTTACGCACACAGTTGGCTAACTATTTACAAAGCACCCAATTAAACCCTACTTAATTCTCCCCTTCTGCAAACCCCATCTCGGAAGCACACGGGCTGCTGAGCACACCAAGCAGGCATCTTCCACCCAGCCCAGGCACTACCTGGCACTCAGCAAACACAGGGGTACAGGGATGCATTTGCCCATCCAACAGTATATATGAAACAAAAAGCAAAGAGAACGTGCAAACTCAGAGAATTGAAGAAATAAGCTGAAGAATCACAGGTAAAGACAGGTAAATCTAGTTTAATGTTCACATGTAGTAATTACACATCACAGAGATTAAACAGGATTTTAGCTGTAACATAGCTGCAGTGAAACGAAAGTTACTTGGTGCTAGAAAAATAATCTTGACACAGTTCTGATTTTTTTGGTCTACTTAAGCTCATTGCAGATGAGTCCACACCGCTGATGGTAACGGTGTTGCCCATACGCCTTCCCACAGTCCCCCACTAATACTCTTTGGATGAAGAAAACAGTGACTGGTTTTGTTTGTGGGTTGCCCTTTGGTTGCAAGCAGGGAACTGTATTCGCTTTTCAAGCAGTTAGTAAGAGCATAGGAATGCAGGTTCCCAAAAAACCCTTTTGGTACTATAGTTCCAGAGCAAATTTCTTGATCTGATGCAACAGCAGGTCTTTTAAAAAAGCCGATTAAAGAGCTAAAGCACTGCCCCATAATGCAAAAAGTAGATAGAATGTCCATTCGCAGTAAAAAACACTACATCCTACTCCTATGCGTATAGAACGCACCAAAACCCCCCTGTGCTCAGTGACACAAGCGGAGGCTCCATGTATAATACATTTACAAACATTTCAAGTCTAGGTCGAGGAAAACACTTCTGTATGAGTCGGAACAAGTTTATTTGCAATCAGACATGGCATGCAATCATGCAGGACCACCGCTACAGCCGAGGCTAAGGGACATGGGGACAAAGAAGCCCTACGCATACGGGATATTTCCATACCGGAGCTCCACACTGAGCCGCCGTCTTCTAAAGAGAGATTCCCACAGATTTAAAAAAAACATACACACTTTTTATCATATTTACAAAAAAATATTTAATTAAAAATATTTTATAATTACAGTAGTCTATTAAAGCATATACTTTTCTCACACTTATAGAACATCTCTCTATGTACACTGTATGAAATGTCACTCGTTTCTCTGTACAGTATGCAACATTCCTGCAGGGAGAAGAAAAGTTCCCGGGCCCCATAAGCCATCTATTTTAAACAATAGACGAGGTCTATCTATACGCGCTCCGGAGGTCGGCAGCGCTGCGCGGTGGAGCCGTGCTCGTCCCTCCGTCGCACTCGGTCCCGGGGCAGAGCCGCCGCTCCTCCTGTTCGGTCCGACCCCACCGCCAACACCGCGGGGAGAAAGAAGAGCAGCGGGGCCGGGGAGTCGCGCACGGGGAGACGGGGGCCGGCCGGAGCCTGGGAGCGGCTCAGAACGGGCATCGCCCCGCCCGCCCCCCCGCCGTGCACCTGTGGGAAGGAAGGAAGGCACACAAGGGGGTGAGCCGATCCGCTCCAGACGGGCTGGCGCCAGCGGCACTCCACGATGCCCCGGGTCACACAATACACACACACGCACGCACTCACACGCACACACACAGCCGCGGCCCGCGGGCTGGGGCTGTGATAAAAGCTCAGCGTTAGAAGAATGAAAGCCCGCCCCGTAAATGGGAAACAAACCCCCCAGCCTGCCGCCGGGCTCCCGGCCGCGCTCAGCCCCTACCCAGCGCCGCGCTCCCCGGCCCCGCCGCCCCCGACGCCCGCACTCACCTGGGCAGCGGCGCTCAGCGGCAGAGGATGCTGTCCCCCGGCTTGTTAACAGAGCCAGCCTGCGCAGCAACGAGACGGCGCGTCACGGCGGCATCGACGGACCGCGCGTTCTCTCCCCCTCTCCCCCCCCCCCCCTCACCCCCTCCCTCAAAGCATGGCGCTGCCGGGAGCCCCCAGATGCCGGAGGTGCGCACCGAGGGGGAAGCCGGTCCCACGAAGCCGGGCTGGTCCCCACGCCGCCCGCCTCAAACGCTCAGTGCTCGGGGAGCGCAGGGGCCGCGCGGCGTTCCCGTACGTGCGAACACGCGGATAGCAGCCGCTCCCCCGAGGGGCTACAGTTACAACGCAGGGATGGATGCGGGGCTCCGCCGGAAGACAGCGCGCCCGCCCCGGTCCCTCCGGGTTGCGCTGCCCCCTGGGCCCTGCAGCGGTGCCTCCCCGCTCCCTTCTCGCGCCCCCGTGACGGGCACGCACCTCTTACCGGGTCGGTGTTGAGGGCCGTCAGCGGGGTGCGCGGGGTGCCCGCGGGACAACCGCCCGGGTGCAGGGCGGGCGGCGGCTGCCGGAGCAGCGCCGGGTGCGTCTCCAGAGCCAGCTGCAGGTCGAGGATGTAGTCGATGACGTGCTGCAGGATCTCCACTTTGCTGACCCGCTTGTTGGGCGGGATGGTGGGCACCAGCCTCCTCAGCCGGCTGTAACAGTCATTCATATCGCACTGCAGGCACAGGGCCGCCGGCTCCTCGCCCCCTTTGCAGCCGCTGTGCTCGGCCAGGCACCGCAGTGCCGGATGCCCGCCACCGCCGCCCGCCCCGGCGGGCTGCGCCTTGCGCCCGGGGTGCCGGACGGGGCTCACGGCTTTCATGGTGCCGCGGGCACGGAGAGAGACCGGGACCTCCCCCGCCACCTCCTCCCGCGACCTCGGGCACGCGCCGCCCGCCCGCCGCCACGCAACGCGAGCGGGGCACGGGCACGGCCGCGGCCTCTCGCTGCTCGCAGACGGGTCCTCCCCACCGGGATGCGGCGAAGACGGCGCTGCCGCAAACCCCGTCCCACCCGACCGCTCAGCCACCGCCGCGGCCGCTCTGCTGTCGCTGCCGCCCGCGCCGCCCGCTAAATAGAGGCGGGCGCGGGCGGGGCGCGGCGCTGCGCGGGGGGGCGCCGCGGCACGGCGGCGCGGCCAATCGGGGCGCCCCGTTCCCCCCTCGGAGCGCGACGCTGACCAATGGCGGCGGGGCGGCGGCGCCGCTGGAGGGGGCGGGCGGCGCTCCCCCCGGGGCTGGAGGCGGAGGAGGAGGCGGCCCGGGAGGGAGGACTGCGGGAATGCGGGCGGGACCGGGCACCGGCGGCTCCCAGCGCAAACCCCCACGGCCCACCGCCGTGTGACCCGACGCCCGGGGAGGGAGAAGTACCTCCCGCCGCGGCGAAGCGCGGTTTTCCCTGATCCGTGTTACCCTCCGCGTGTATTGGAGGGGACTCTGGAAAATCCCGAGCGAAACTCGAGGAAGGAGAGGAGGGGTTGGGGGCTCGGGCGGAGCGGTGCCTGGGAACGTTAAATTAGAGCGCATAACGATTAAAAATGCATGGAGATGGGGTATTTAAAATTCCTCCATGACATATAATATTAATCCGTTTTATGTAAAATTCATACCTGTAACTTAATTTGGTCCATTAATGCACGCGATCACGTATTAGTGGATGTACCATGTTTTAAATATGATGCTGGAAATGTCCAGAGTTCTGTACTTTGAGACAGAGCATTAAAATTAACAGACTTATACTCCAGAGCCCCTCTCAAGTCGTCTGGTGGCAGCTTGCAACCTTTTAATTTAATAATGCTGCGCACAAACTTTCTGTTAATACCTTCCTGGGATTAGCAGCGGTAGCCGGACCGTACTGCAAAGGGCACAGTGCCCAGCTCTGCAGCGGCTGTGCTGCTCCAGGACCTCAGCAGGCACAGCTCTGGGACCTTGGTGGGTGCAGGAAGGAGCAGAGGCTGCAGGATCTGCCCCACGCTCGCAGGTCAGACCCCACGGAAAGAGAGAAATGCATAATGGTGATTAATGGTTGCACGTACCCTCTGTGCTTAGTCACACTGGGGAAGCTGTCAGACCCAGAAGGCGAATGAGCAGAGACCCGAGCATCTGAAGAGCGCAACAAAGCGCGCATCCATTCTCTCACCCTTTAAGAATGTTTGAGGCTGTGCTTACAAATATTCACACAATTATCTGCTTATTCCATCCCACGTTACCAGTGCTTTTGATGGCCTCTAGGTACAAAAACGAGGTGTGTGGTGTGAATCTTGGGCTGACACTTGGGTTGTGCTCTACGTTGTGACAATAAGATGAGAAGACATACGTCCATCCTAGCTACAGGCCGGGTGATCCTGGTTCTGCTGCAGTCACTCCTCTTATTCTGTGAAACTCCACTCTGCAGCCTCTGACTCTCAGAAGGTGGAAATATATACAGGCCTAATGCCATACGTTATGGTAATACTTTCTCTCCCTGAGTCTTTGTAACACAGACAGCCAACGTGCTGTTTAAAAGACCTTCAGATTTTAAATTACAGTGAGCATGCAGACACAAATCTTGCTGATCCCATTTAATTAAAATCTATGTGTAAGTAGACACACTGTATATCAGGCTGTCTGTTTGCACAAAATGCCGTCTAGGAAGTCCAGTGATCTCCCTGGAAATCTCTGGGAAGCCCTAGGAGGTAACTGGTTCCCCTGGAGCTCTCACAAAGCCACCCTGGACAGGCAATGCGTGCTGCAGTGTGGCTACAGAGAACCTACCGACTCCACGCCGGCTCTGGTGGATGACTCAGTATTTCTTGTAAGGTGCAAAGGATCTCAGCGTGCCAGCGAGCTCTTCCCATCATCGTCCTTCCCTTCCCTCTGAAGGGAAATCTGAGGGTGGGCAGGCATTGCAGGAGTTGTGTTTGTTCACCTAGCATCTCAGCAGAGATATGTGGGAAAGGGAAAAGCAGCCCTCCCCTCTGACTATCGCATAAATATTCAGGGGATTTCCTCTAGTAACTCCCTTTGATACTGGTGGAGTTGATACATGCTAGTCCGACATGCTCTGGTGAACAATAGGCACCAATTCCCTGTTAACAACCCGACTGCTTTTGCTCTCCTTGAAGTCAATGGGAGTTTTGTCATTGACTTAAGTGGCAGCAGGTTGGGTCGGCTGCTTTTTCAACATTTAGATTGGATGTGCACCAGATGCTAAGCAAATTGAGCTAAAAATGGATTGGAAACCCCAGTATGCTAGCAATGGGAACAGGTACGATGAAACTCTTCATCCCTGAAGACAAACACAAAAGAGAGGGGCAGCGGCTGCTGTTTGTGCTTTTGTCCTATTAACAGCAATATTTTTCATGACATGAATATATAGGGATTAACGCTCCTGTTTTTTTTCACCAGACTGAGTCTGGGTTTTCAAAATGAATTCTGTGCATCTTTAAGCATGTGGTTCCTTCCTGGCTGGCTGGAGGAGCTCATCTGTCTCGGCTGTGTTTTTCTTTGCTCTCTTCCCACATCCAGAGATGGAGATTCATTTCCATTGTAGCCAGCTCTTGCAATATTGTCACAAGATGCTTGATTGTGCTTGTGCAGACCAGTTTAGCCAAGGCTTGATGGGTCCCAATCACATCATAGAGGCTCTCGGGAGCTTAAGAAGGTTGTTTATCATACGAAACTAAAGTAAACCAAGCTAAAAATGAAAACATAATTACCAGCCTTATATTCCCTTCATCATGGGGATAATCCCACTTAACTTGATGAGAATCCTCTCTTGAGTAATGTAGGTTGAATTTGTCAGCACGGGTTTGAGTGTATGAATACGTGATTCACTCTAACTGCAAAAATAAACCTGAGCCTTTGACACTGTCCCTGAATCACATTACTTTAGGACCCAATAGTCAGGGAAGGGAGAGCAAGGTGGACAGTGCCTCTAGACCTACTAGTTTTTGTTCATGATATGATGCCACCGAACCAACCAGAGGCACCACTTTAGGTAACACGGTCTTGGACAGTTGAAACTCCAAGGCAACACATTTAGGGATGCAGAAGACATGGCTTCCTCTATAAGGTTACTTGCTATACCTACCTTAAGAGGGCATGAAATGCACACAAATGCACTATGTATTTTTAATCTTACACAAGCTATGAAACAATGGTTGAGTCAAGTGTCCCTGTTGTGGGCTTTGGGGCATGCTGTTTCAGAGCAGCGTGGTAAAATCCCAATCTTTCCTTTGCTGATAACTACAGCTGATAACTGGTGTGTCACGTTTCATCCAGGTGGCACCAAAATACATGATGTTCAGACACCCCTGTCCCCATTGACTTCAGCAGGCAGACAGAAGACTCAGAGGAGCTGCTCAACACCTAGAAGGGCTGATCATTAAAAAAGCATTATAAATCTCTGAATGGTTTATGGTTTATGAGGGAAGCAGCAATTGATTCCTCAGCGGTGCCATTACTCTCCACTATTGCTATCATTCAAATGGCAATAATGTTGGTTATTTACCTTCAATTAAAATATCTAGTTAGTTGTGATGTCATTTAAAATAGCACTATAATGTGTTTAGTGCTCCCTTACCAAACGCCATAGATAAACTCCTCTTGGCAACAGGGGGCAGTGATATGAAATGAAAAATTAGCTTGGGGGAGGGAAGGAGGGCGAGGAAAGAATATGTGAATCTTTTGCTGGGATGTTTTTTCTACGTGCCTGTATCCCCTTGGATGTGAGCACGCTGGAAGTGAGACTGTGGACTTCTTTGCAGCATCCTCAGAATGCAGCAGGGATCCAGAGCATCAGGGGTGGAGGGAGCATGGACAAGTCACTGCATTCTGTAGTCTCCCAGCCAACCAAAGTCTTTTGCTACCGCTCCTTGCCATGGATGATTCACTGTCAGAATTCTGTAAAACTCTTCTTAATGCAAACCTTTTTGTCCACATAACATGAGCCATCTTCAGTACTGGTCTCTCCGTTTTCTCCAATCCAAAATCTAAATACAACTCACGAACTGGTTGTGGCCATGGGAGACTTTTCTGTTTAATGAGAAAAACTAAGAGATTCTCAATAACCTTACCTCTGTTCTTTGCAGCTGCCTCCCAACTGCCCAATGTGCATGAAGTTTATTGTAAAATACAGGGGAAAATGTTTGCTGATAGCCCATGACAGCTCTTCACAGACAAAAGAGATGGTTTTATTCTTCTTCATGTCTGCTGTCCAGTTTAGAGCATTCTTCTCATGACAGAAGCATACTTCTACCTAACCCTTTGTGCTTTCATTCAGAGTCACTACAAAAAGCTACACTTAAAATAAAAAAAAAAAAAAGCAAACAAACAACAACAGATGTGGCAAAAAATTTCAGAGAGATCGAAGAACAGATTAAAAAACAAACAAAAAAAAAAAAAGAAGAAAATAACAAAAAAACCCACAACCTTATGCTTATATAAGCTCTTCTTTAAAGCAAATGTAGAAATCGATGCTTAAAGAAATTAATAGAAAACTGAAAAAGACTGTAAAGAGGGTTAGCTTGAAAAGAGCTCTTCTTGCTGTGCAGCCTCCAGCACGGCTACGCTGTAGAAATCAGTGCAAAGCCATCTCCTGCCTTGAAGAGGCTTTGGGAGCAGACAGCCCCAGCGTGTCACTGACAGAAGCCCTGGCATTTTGCTGGTGGTTGTATGGCAGCTGAAGGGTAATGTCATTTAGGAAGGTTGCTTTGTTCGGGTGACCAAAAGCACTGGGTTTGTTGGGTAATGTCAGGTCTCTGTGTTGACCGAAGCAGGCTCATGGCAAGAAAGATAACTCGCGTTGACAGCTTTCTGTAGCGTGGGCCAAATATAAGCAATC